AATGCATACTGACACGCCAAAAAGCTTCTGGGAGAATGTCCTTTGGACAGATGAGACAAAACTGGAGCTTTTTGGCAAGTCACATTAGCTCTGTGTTCACAGACGCAAAAATGAAGTATTCAAAGAAAAAAACATTGTACCTACTGTGAAACATGGAGGAGGCTTGTTTATGTTTTGGGGCTGATTTGCTACATCTGGTGCAGGCTGTTTTGAATCTGTGCAGGGTACAATGAAATCTCAAGATTATCAAGGCTGGAGCTGCCCAGTGTCAGAAAGTTTGGTCTCAGTCACAGGTCATGGGTCCTTCAATGGGATAATGACCCAAAATACATAGCTAAAAGCATCCAAGAATGGCTAAGAGCAAAGCATTGGACTATTCTGAAGTGGCCTTCTATGAGCCCTGATCTAATTCCCATTGAACATCTGTGGAAGAAGCTGAAACAGCTGGAGAGGTTTGCTCACAAGGAGTACACAAGGAATACCTGTGGGCAGATGCAGGAGTCTTATTGAGAGTTACAGAAATCATTTGATTGCAGTGAAAGGTTGTGCAATAAAACATGAAGTTAAGGGTACCATAATTTTGTCCAGGCCAGTTTCATTAGTTTGTTTTCTAAAATGATTCTGTTGAACCCAATTCAAAAGCAATGTCTGATTTTCATTAGTTGAATTTCGGTAAAATTTCATTTATTATTACTTTTATCAGTTACGCGTAGACAAAATTGTAGCAGCAATTTGTCCACATGTGTATATTAATGCAGGCTCAATACTGTGAGGAGTCCTGAACCCAGACAGAAAAAAACATCAAGTGTATTGATTCCTCTTAGGAAAGGAAGTGAATTGTTCGGTAACTACATATTGTAAGATCTTTGTGATAAACTGAATATCTGATATCTGTAATTACAAAGATTACTGGGGTCTAGATTTGAATGGTGACCACCTATGATAGATTAATCTCTGTTTATTAGCTAGCTTAACCCTGTAAGTATTTGACCAGATTTAATTGGAAATGTAAACTATATGACATGATGTTTGATGTGAAACGAAGTACATAAAATTGTTAATGATTTATGGTTTGGGGTTGTATGGCAGCCAGTGGCACAGGAAACATTGCTCCCTTTCTTCTGACTGACCGCCAGGGATCTGAAGTAAGAGAAGAGCACACTCTCCATAGCCAAGAGAGCCCAGCAATAAATGCTTTTCCTGAGAATTGTAATGTAATCAGAAATAGAAGATCACAAATGCAAATCTTACTCGATCAAAACTTTTGCAGTACAACTAATTATCATATCTACCCCCATCAAGTCTATTCACACCCATATTGTGAGATCAATGACTTCAGGACTGTTTCCACCACCAGGCCATCAAGCTCCTGAAAAGGTTCTTTTCTCAGCCTCTTAAAAGCCCCCAAATCACCCACCATAGACAATTACCACCTTTCATAAGATACTTTATCTTTCTCTAAAATCAGCTCTTTTCTTTCCACATGCTGCACATTTTATATCCACGTTGGATTATATTTGTGTCTCTGTTCATACTCTCGCATTGTTTATAGCTGCACATGCAATATAGCTTGATATCTCTACATAACAGTGTGTAAGATCTGTTTGACATGTACAGAAATTAATGCAAGTCATTTTTCTTACACTGTAACGTCCTCATTCTCACTAACACACAAAAGAACAGAAGAAGCACACAGGATACACCTCTGCCTTTGGGACCAACTTAGCAAAGTTTGCTTAAAATGAAAACAGCATTATTAATCTCCATAAATAACATTACTAACTACAATTAATACATGCTTTCAGGATATATAGTGAGAATCTTAAATAAGGAATCAACAAAATCTTCAAACTCAACAAAAATATCAATTAACATTAAATCAGAAGCACAAGAGCAAACAGTACCAGTTTGGACAAAAGCTCCTTCAGTGTTGAGTGATATTTTTAAATCCTACTTTCAAAGAGTGAACATCTCTCCAAGAAGGTCAATTAAAACACAATGTAAACCAAAAAAAAAGTGTTGAAAAGATCTTTACCTTCAGTAGTGCAGCTCCTGTCCCTCTGCCAAACAACACTGGCCTGGACTGCTGATCAGAGGAAGTACAACTAAACTGGCCAGGGGCTTCACACTGGAACCACATGATCACAGCAGCTCTTGAGGGTGTTATTTATACCCCACCCATATTCTGAAAAACCCCACCTCCTGTGCTAGGATTGGCTAATAGATAATAGATGAAAAGTGGTTCACATCACTGTTGCAGGAACAGAATACATGAGAACATGTGACACAGGAAAACACCTCTGTTTCATTATTTGACTGTATATGAAGTATTATTGAGTCTCTAATAACAATAACTAACCAACTTCACCTTCTATGAATGTTTATCAGCAATGGCTGTGTTTACATGCAAAGATTTTTGCCAATCCGATTGAATACAATCCGATTACAGATTCAGACTGACGTGTTTATATGAACACTATTCAACAATGTGATGGAAAATCTTCGTTTACATGCTCACTACAATAAATCCGATGCAAAATGACGCGCATGCGTGGAGTAGCGTTTAGAGTAAACGTTACCATGACAGCGAACATCACGTGAGGTCCAGTCAGCGTGAGATGAGTTTTTGGCGCGCTTGTGTTTTAATTGCTTTAAAATGAGGTCAGACTCAGGAAAACGTGCTTCACATGTACTTATAAAGGAAGCGGCGAGAGGAAGACGTCGTGTTCTGAGACTCATAAGCTGGACGCCCGTCCCACCGCCGTCTTTTAAAGCTCAGAGCTTAAACTTCGTCTCCTCTGCAGACCCGTTTCTGCTCCTCCATGCTGAACGGTATAAACTTTCGCCATGACGCCACGCACATGCGCAGAACATACTTACACGTTCCGTTTGGGATGTGATCGGATTCAGGCGTTTACATGGCTATTATTCTTCTATTTAACGGATTATTTAGAGGTTTACCCACCTCGTTCAATAGAATTTGTAAAGAATTTGGATAGAAATTGTATTCCGAATGTTTACATGGATTTATTCTATTCCGATTGAGCTATTAGTCGGATTATTAACGGATTATCAGGCTGCATGTAAACGTGGCTATTGTGACTCTCAGTCTTCAACACTGAGAACAGATTTGAATCACTTAAATCGATGGTGGGAGAAAGGGGAGCAGGAGAAAGATGGATGTATCATTAATTTGCTCAGTGGTGCGTTTACATCTAGATGCATTTACATGCACGTTTTTTAGTGTTCGGACACACAAGCTAACCAGGAACAATCATCCAGCCAAACCCCTCCCCCCACAGAGAACTCTGGCACTCCTGGTTCTTCCTGTTTTTTTTAGGAACAATCCACTGTTCTAGATTAGGAAGGAATGATGAGGCCCTCTTACCACTAGAAGTCATACATCACAAACCTCTGAAAGAAAACTCACACTCTCTTCACACTCACACTCTTCACACTGCTGTCTGGAGTGTTAGTGAGAACAAGAACCATCAGCTTTTAGGACAGTTTCTATGACGAAGCCATCCTGAACGGCTCTGTTCTCCCCCAGTTGAAAAGCCCCCAATCACCCACTTTAGCTCTTAATCTAGAAGCAATTTAGCAGCAACCCCCATCTAAACATCACCATCTTTAAGCGCTTTCCTCCACAAAACCTGGTGCATTACTGGCATAACCACATTTTTGAAAAATTGGGAATTTTGTAAAATGCAATAAAAACAAGAAAATGTGATTTTTTAATTCTCTTAAATAATTATTTACTGACAAAAGTACAAAGAAATGACTTTTAATGTTTTGGCTGGCCAATTTGATTGTATTTTATGAATATTAAATAATTTTTAATCTGATGCCTGACAACCCCTTTAAATCAAAAGTAGAGACTGGGCCTCTTTCTGTAACTGTAAACTGTTCTGCTCTCCCAGAGAGTTTTCTTCTTTCATTTTGGTCGCTGTTTACATTCCGCTGGACACGCACAAGCATCAAACAGAAACTGCTGACTATGATAATGAAAGTAGAAAGAGGGAATCTGGACTCACTGCTCATCATTAAGGGAGACTTTAACAGCACAAACCTATCTAAGTGTCCAAGTACAGACAACATGTTAGGTGTGCCACAAAAGAAGAGAATATTTTGGATCATTATTACACCACTATTGAAAATCATGAATGCAGTTGTCAGTCATTCCAACTACAGTCTTGCTCACCTCATCTCAACATACAGGCAGGACGTCGAAACCAACAAGCCTGTGGAGACACTGAAAAGCTAAAGGGCTGATTTGAATTAATTTCTTTTTGAAGAAAAACAGACAGCCTAGATGAAAACTCAGATGCTGTGACATCATACATTAGTTTAGTGGGAAGAGCTGTATTCATTGGAAATACTACAAAGACGTCAAATATTGAAACTGAGAAAATGTATTGTTTTTTGAAAAAACTGCCTGTGAACAGTTCAACACTGCATCCACAAATGCAAGTTAAAACTCTTAAATGCAAAAAAGAAATCCTATATAAACAATATCCAGAAATGCTGCCACCTTCTCAGGGTCTGAGATCATTTGAAATGGACTGAGGGGAAGTGGAAAATTGTCCTGTGGTCCAACAAATAATATATGTTCTCATTGGAAATGTCACCACTGAAAACATCTGGCACATTATAAAATGAAAAATACTAAAAAGTAGACCCCGAACTGTTGAGCAGCTAAAATCCTATGTTAAGCAAAAATGGGAAAACATTTCACTTTCAGAACTACAGCAGTCAGTCCTCAGTTCCCAAACGCTTACATAGTGTTGTTAAAAGAAGGGGTGATGAAACACACAACATGTTGTTGGCGTCAAATTCAAAATGGCCATATATTTTTCAGACAGGAAGAGAACCTGATTTTGGAGGCTGTGAAGCCAAGTGAAAGTCTTGCCATATTTAGAACATTATTACAGTTTCTCTCCTGTGTGAAAGCGCTGGTGTCTTTGGAGACGACTTCCCTCAGTGAACCTCTTCCCACACTCTTAGCCGTGATACAGTTTCTCTCCTGTGTGAAAGCGCTGATGGAAATGGAGCTGAGTCAGTGTAGTAAAGCATTTTTCACATTCTGAGCACTGGTATGGTTTCTCTCCTGTGTGAATGCGCTGGTGTGTTTGGAGATTACCCTTCTGTGTGAACCTCTTTCCACACTCTGAGCACTGATATGGTTTCTCTCCTGTGTGAATGCGCTGGTGCACATGGAGCCGAGTCAGTGTAGTAAAGCATTTTTCACACTCTGAGCAGTGATACGATTTCTCTCCTGTGTGAATGCGCTGATGTGATTTGAGATTACTTTTGTGATTAAAACTCATCCCACGGTCAAAGCACTGATACGGTTTCTCTCCTGTGTGAGTACGCTGGTGTGTTTGGAGATTACCCTTCTGTGTGAACCTCTTTCCACACTCTGAGCACTGATATGGTTTCTCTCCTGTGTGAATGCGCTGGTGCACATGGAGCAGAGTCAGTCTAGTGAAGCATTTTTCACACTCTGAGCACCGATATGGTTTCTCTCCTGTGTGAATGCGCTGGTGTGTTTGGAGACTACTTCTCTCAGTGAAATTCTTTCCACACTCTGAGCAGTGATATGGTTTCTCTCCTGTGTGAATGCGCTGGTGCAAATGGAGCTGAGTCAGTGTAGTAAAGCATTTTTCACACTCTGAGCACTGATACAGTTTCTCTCCTGTGTGAATGCGCTGGTGTCTTTGGAGACTTCTTCCCTCAGTGAACCTCTTTCCACACTCTGAGCAGTGATACGGTTTCTCCCCTGTGTGAATGTGCTGATGTGATTTCAGATTATGTTTCTGACTAAAAAACTTCCCACACTCTAAACACTGGAACGGTTTCTCTCCTGTGTGAATGCGCTGATGTGATTTGAGATTACTTTTGTGATTAAAACTCATCCCACAGTCAAAGCACTGATACGGTTTCTCTCCTGTGTGAATGCGCTGGTGTATCTGAAGGGCAGAACGCACACTAAAGCTCTTTCCACACTCAGAACAGTAATTCAGTTTCTCTCCTGTGTGAATGCGCTGGTGTCTTTGGAGACCAGGTCTGGTAGTAAAGCTCTTTCCACACTCAGAACAGTGGTGATTCCCCTCTTTGCAGGTATTTTTCTGCATTCTTCTGTGAGGTGTGTTGGTCTGGAGAGTATTGGGTAATATTTGCTGGGTACCAGAGCTTCTTCTGGATGCTTACTAAGTCTGTCTGGATTTCAGAAGCTCCTCATGTGTTTGTGAAGGTTCACACTAGAAGCAGGAGACGACTTGCAAAAGGATGTTATTCTTCCTGCAGGAGAAAAATAAAAATATTTATATATAAAATTCATATACAAGAAACTTTGAATTTAACATTTTTAGGTGTAAAAGTTTTTCACAATACACAGTTTAAAGTAAAGTGGAAAAAGGTTGTATCAGTTGCTGGGTTTAAAAGACAGTTTTATGACCTCTAATTATAGACTAAGTGTCTTCGTTAAATTCAATTATAAAATAGTTTAACATAGATTCATAAACTACTACAGTAACTGAGTCTTGAAGATTGGTTAGTGATGTATTTCATAATAAGAATTCTGCTCCAGCTTTTTGAAGTAATAAAGACATACTAATGTCTCAGCAGTTTGCATGGTTAAGGGATTTCTAAACCTGGCAATATTTTGGACTTTAAAATAAGGAGTTTTACATGTATTCAGCAATTATTCTTTATTCATTCACTGCTGTGCAGTCTCCATAGCCAACACAGCACAGCAGAGAATGTCCTTCCTGAGACATTCAACCTGCCACAGTGCCTGATGATCCAGTTCTTCACAGCAATCATCGAGTCCATCCTCACATCATCCATAATCATCTTGTTAACTTACAAATATTCATATCCGTCTGTAATATTCTGCATATAATAGTTTTTATAGTATAGTCTGTCTATTGTATTGTTATATTAAATTTCCTTTTGCTACATAATTGTTAACAGTCTGTGTTCTTGTCTGGTCTGTCTAGCATGTTACATGTTATACATGTGTGACTCACCAAGACTGATTCCTTGTATGTGTGACACACTTGCTGAAACAAAGTGATTCTGATGTGTAGAAGGTTGTAATCAGAAATACATGAACACAAATGCAAATCTTACTGGATCAAAATTTTGCTCTCAATTAGTAGAACTAAGTAACCAGTGTTTTCATAAACAGTTGTACACAACAGACCACTGCCCTCTTATCACCTACCAGATCCACCCCCATCACAGTCTATTCACACTCTCTCTGGAGAGAGAGTGAGATCAAGGACTTTAGGACTGTTTCTACTACCAGGCCATCAAACTTCTGAATAGATTCTTTTCTCACCCTCTTAAAAGCCCCCCAAATCACCCAAAACAGACAATTACTTCATCTTCCTTTAGAAAAAGGCCCCAATTTGGCCACATGTTGCACATTTTATATCCATCTGTGTCTGTTCATAGTGTCTGCATTGTTTATAGTTGCACATGCAATATGACATGATCTCTTTTTGCACATTGATTTCATATAAGTTTTCAAAATCTGCTTAACCTGCACAGAAATTAATGCAAGTACAACATTTTTCCTACACTGAAACATCCTCATTTTCACCAACACACAAATGAACAGAAGAAACACAGGATGCACCTCTGCCTTTGGGACCAACTTAGCAAAGTTAGCTTGAAATGAAAACAGCATTATTAATGTCCATAAATAACATTACTGGCCACAATTAATACATTAGTACAGTTTTTTTTCAGGATATATAGTGTGAATCTGAAATAAAAACTAAAAACAAAACTCAACATAAAATATCAATTAGCATCAAATCACAAGCACAAGAGCAAACAGTAGAAGTCTGGACAAAAGCTCCTTCAGTGTTGTGATATTTCTAAATCCTACTTTTCAAAGAGTGAATATCTCTCATAGTCTTTTATTTAAAGGTCAATTAAAAGCACAACATAAACCATTTGAAAAAAGTGTTGAAAAGATCTTTACCTTCAGTAACGCAGCTCCTGAGTCTCTCTTGCTGACAACACTGGCCTGGACTGCTGATCAGAGCAAGTACAACAGCATCGGCGAGGGGCTTCACACTGGAACCACATGATCACAGCAGCTCTTGAGGGTGTTATTTATATCCCACCCATACTGTGAAAACCACACCTCCTGTGCTAGGATTGGCTACAACTGGCCAGTTGAAAAGTGGTTGACATCACTGTTGCAGGCACAGAATAGATGAGAACATGTGACACAGGAAAAGAAAACTCCTCTATTTCATTATTTGACTGTAATGAAGTATCATTGAGTCTCTAATGACAACAAATATTCAACTTTACATTCTAAGAATGTTCCTTATCAGCATTTGGACTCTCAGTCTCCAACACTGATAACAGATCAGGGTCACTGACATCAAGGGTTGGAGAGAGGGGAGTGGGAGAAAGATGAAAGGGGCGTGAGGTGCAAGCTTTGTGTTTTGTGAGTTGGTCAGTTGCTGCCTGGACCAACTCAGATTAACGCTTGTCTGTTGGAGAGCCTTAATCTTAATAAAAGAAATAGTGCCTTTCCTGCCAGTCCTGGATTTTTATTGAAATTTTTAAGTATAAGTTGCTTGCTTTTGTGACGACACACTCTTTAGGAACAATCCACTGTTCTAGATTAGGCTAAAATGATGAGGCCCTCTTACCACTAGAAGTCATAAATCATAAACTTCTGCAGGAAAACTCACACTCTCTTCACACTCATGCTGTCTGGAGTGGGAGTGAGAATAAGAACCATCAGCTTTTAGGACAGTTTCTATGGCCATCAGTCTCCTGAATGGCTTTGTTCTCACCCTATTGAAAGTCACCCACTCTAGCTCTTAATCTAGAAGCTTTAATGAGCAACCCCCATCTAAACACTGCCATCTTTAAGTGCTTTCCTCCACAAAACCTGGTACATTACTGCCATAGCTTTTTGGTGATACTGACAAAAGTACAAGAATGACTTTAATGTTTTGGCTCACCAACTTGTTTTTCATGAATATAAACAAATTTTGAATCCGATGCCTGTAACACCCCCCTTTAAAGCAAAATTAGGGGCTGTGGCAAAATAAGTGTGAAAACTGTAAAGAATGTTCAAGTTACACTGTTTTGAATAATTCCACAATTAGCAGGTGAGTTAGTAAGAGGTGAGGGTGTCGTGATGGGGTATCCACCAAAGGTTTTTCAGATTACCAGCTACAAGGTGAGAAAGAATGACCACAAGCTCACCAATGACCTGAATGAGTTCCACTGCAGATTTGAACACACAAAGGACACTATTTGGCCTCTCTGACAGACCCCTGCCCTCTTCCTCCACACTGCCTCTCTCATCTCTGCTCTCCACATCTCACCATTAACAAGAAGGATGTTAACAGGACTTTTCAGCATACAGAAGGTGTGAAAAGCTCCAGGACCTGAATTAGTCTCTCCATCCACCCTAAAACACAGCAGTGGTCAACTAGCACCAATTTTCACCAACATCTTCGACAAATCACTGGAACTCTGCTCTGTTCCCATATGCTTCAAAACATCAAACACACATTAGTGGACTAAATGACTACTTCATTCTTCAGTACAGATAGTGGAAAGCAGTAAAGTTGCTGTGGCAATTAAGCAATGACTGATTGATATTAACAGGCCCCCAATATGCCAAGGAAACATTTGTCACATCATTACACCACCTCCACCAGCCTGGTCTGTTTACACAAGGCAGAGTGGGTCCATAGATTCATGTTGTTGGTGCCAAGTTCTGAACTTACTATCTGTTTCTGTGCCTCAGCAAAAATCAAGATTCATCAGACCAGGTTACATGTTTTGTAGCCCATCCACCTCAAGGTTCAACAGGCATTCTGAGGTGCTCTTCTGTTCACTGTATCTATACACAGAGGTTGTGTGAGTTACTATAGCCTTTCTGTCAGCTTGAACAAGTCTGGCCATTCTCAGTTCAAATACAGCATTCCTGTTTGCAGAACTGCTGCTCACTGAATGTTTTTAAACACTACAGACTGCAGCAAGTGAAAATCCCAAGAGATCTGCAGTTCTAGAAATGCTCAAACCAGACTATCTATTTTTTTGGCATCACTATGTAATGTTCTGGTATGACCCTGTCTAGGGTAAGGCTGTAAAAGAATGGTGTGGTGAGAAATGTATACTTAGTGATTGTGTGTGTAGTGTATAATAATGAGACCAAAAACAGAAAATGGCTCTTAATAGCAAATTCACAGTGTATTACACAACTGTACCATACACTGTCTTCAGGTTTGGCCCAAACAACAAACAGAATCCACACAATCTTCAAGATACATACTAGCCTTAAGCAAAACATTATCTAACTCCCTGATGGGAAGCAAAGACACAGACAGAGGTGGTTTATAATTTTTAATTATAACTCAAATTAATCCACATGTGTCAGTGAAAGAAGAGCATAGAAGCCCATACTTTTTTGCCAACTGCTGCTAGATGGTGCTGCAGTAGTGCTGCTGCTATTTTAGACTGAATGCCAAGGGATTATTGTAAAGCAATGAAATCTATCTAAAACATAATCTAAGAATGCTTTCATAACAAACACAACAGCAAACTGTCCTGACAGATTCATTCAAAACCCTCATCAGACAGGAAGAGAACCTGATTTTGGAGGCTGTGAAGCCAAGTGAAAGTCTTGCCATATTTAGAACATTATTACAGTTTCTCTCCTGTGTGAAAGCGCTGGTGTCTTTGGAGACGACTTCCCTCAGTGAACCTCTTCCCACACTCTTAGCCGTGATACAGTTTCTCTCCTGTGTGAATGCGCTGATGGAAATGGAGCTGAGTCAGTGTAGTAAAGCATTTTTCACACTCTGAGCACTGGTATGGTTTCTCTCCTGTGTGAATGCGCTGGTGTGTTTGGAGATTACCCTTCTGTGTGAACCTCTTTCCACACTCTGAGCACTGATATGGTTTCTCTCCTGTGTGAATGCGCTGGTGCACATGGAGCCGAGTCAGTGTAGTAAAGCATTTTTCACACTCTGAGCACCGATATGGTTTCTCTCCTGTGTGAATGCGCTGGTGTGTTTGGAGACTACTTCTCTCAGTGAAACTCATCCCACACTCTGAGCAGTGATATGGTTTCTCTCCTGTGTGAATGCGCTGGTGTGTTTGGAGACTACCCTTCTGTGTGAACCTCTTTCCACACTCTGAGCACTGATATGGTTTCTCTCCTGTGTGAATGCGCTGATGCAAATAGAGCTGAGTCAGTGTAGTAAAGCATTTTTCACACTCTGAGCACTGGTATGGTTTCTCTCCTGTGTGAATGCGCTGGTGTGTTCGGAGATTACCCATCTGTGCGAACCTCTTTCCACACTCTGAGCACTGATATGGTTTCTCTCCTGTGTGAATGCGCTGATGCAAATAGAGCTGAGTCAGTGTAGCAAAGCATTTTTCACACTCTGAGCACTGATACAGTTTCTCTCCTGTGTGAATGCGCTGGTGTCTTTGGAGACTTCTTCCCTCAGTGAACCTCTTTCCACACTCTGAGCAGTGATACGGTTTCTCCCCTTTGTGAATGTGCTGATGTGATTTCAGATTATGTTTCTGACGAAAAAACTTCCCACACTCTAAACACTGGAATGGTTTCTCTCCTGTGTGAATGTGCTGATGTGATTTGAGATTACTTTTTTGATTAAAACTCATCCCACAGTCAGAGCACTGATACGGTTTCTCTCCTGTGTGAATGCGCTGGTGTATCTGAAGGGCAGAACGCACACTAAAGCTCTTTCCACACTCAGAACAGTAATTCAGTTTCTCTCCTGTGTGAGTACGCTGGTGTTTTTGGAGACTAGATCTGGTAGTAAAGCTCTTTCCACACTCAGAACAGTGGTGATTCCCCTCTTTGCTGGTATTTTTCTGCATTCTTCTGTGAGGTGTGTTGGTCTGGAGAGTATTGGGTAATATTTGCTGGGTACCAGAGCTTCTTCTGGATGCTTACTAAGTCTGTCTGGATTTCAGAAGTGTTCCTCTAGCAGCTCCTCATGTGTTTGTGAAGGTTCACACTAGAAGCAGGAGACGACTTGCAAAAGGATGTTATTCTTCCTGCAGGAGAAAAACAAAAATATTTATATATAAAATTCATATACAAGAAACTTTGAATTTAACATTTTTAGGTGTAAAAGTTTTTCACAATACACAGTTTAAAGTAAAGTGGAAAAAGGTTGTATCAGTTGCTGGGTTTAAAAGACAGTTTTATGACCTCTAATTATAGACTAAGTGTCTTCGTTAAATTCAATTATAAAATAGTTTAACATAGATTCATAAACTACTACAGTAACTGAGTCTTGAAGATTGGTTAGTGATGTATTTCATAATAAGAATTCTGCTCCAGCTTTTTGAAGTAATAAAGACATACTAATGTCTCAGCAGTTTGCATGGTTAAGGGATTTCTAAACCTGGCAATATTTTGGACTTTAAAATAAGGAGTTTTACATGTATTCAGCAATTATTCTTTATTCATTCACTGCTGTGCAGTCTCCATAGCCAACACAGCACAGCAGAGAATGTCCTTCCTGAGACATTCAACCTGCCACAGTGCCTGATGATCCAGTTCTTCACAGCAATCATCGAGTCCATCCTCACATCATCCATAATCATCTTGTTAACTTACAAATATTCATATCCGTCTGTAATATTCTGCATATAATAGTTTTTATAGTATAGTCTGTCTATTGTATTGTTATATTAAATTTCCTTTTGCTACATAATTGTTAACAGTCTGTGTTCTTGTCTGGTCTGTCTAGCATGTTACATGTTATACATGTGTGACTCACCAAGACTGATTCCTTGTATGTGTGACACACTTGCTGAAACAAAGTGATTCTGATGTGTAGAAGGTTGTAATCAGAAATACATGAACACAAATGCAAATCTTACTGGATCAAAATTTTGCTCTCAATTAGTAGAACTAAGTAACCAGTGTTTTCATAAACAGTTGTACACAACAGACCACTGCCCTCTTATCACCTACCAGATCCACCCCCATCACAGTCTATTCACACTCTCTCTGGAGAGAGAGTGAGATCAAGGACTTTAGGACTGTTTCTACTACCAGGCCATCAAACTTCTGAATAGATTCTTTTCTCACCCTCTTAAAAGCCCCCCAAATCACCCAAAACAGACAATTACTTCATCTTCCTTTAGAAAAAGGCCCCAATTTGGCCACATGTTGCACATTTTATATCCATCTGTGTCTGTTCATAGTGTCTGCATTGTTTATAGTTGCACATGCAATATGACATGATCTCTTTTTGCACATTGATTTCATATAAGTTTTCAAATCTGCTTAACCTGCACAGAAATTAATGCAAGTACAACATTTTTCCTACACTGAAACATCCTCATTTTCACCAACACACAAATGAACAGAAGAAACACAGGATGCACCTCTGCCTTTGGGACCAACTTAGCAAAGTTAGCTTGAAATGAAAACAGCATTATTAATGTCCATAAATAACATTACTGGCCACAATTAATACATTAGTACAGTTTTTTTTCAGGATATATAGTGTGAATCTGAAATAAAAACTAAAAACAAAACTCAACATAAAATATCAATTAGCATCAAATCACAAGCACAAGAGCAAACAGTAGAAGTCTGGACAAAAGCTCCTTCAGTGTTGTGATATTTCTAAATCCTACTTTTCAAAGAGTGAATATCTCTCATAGTCTTTTATTTAAAGGTCAATTAAAAGCACAACATAAACCATTTGAAAAAAGTGTTGAAAAGATCTTTACCTTCAGTAACGCAGCTCCTGAGTCTCTCTTGCTGACAACACTGGCCTGGACTGCTGATCAGAGCAAGTACAACAGCATCGGCGAGGGGCTTCACACTGGAACCACATGATCACAGCAGCTCTTGAGGGTGTTATTTATATCCCACCCATACTGTGAAAACCACACCTCCTGTGCTAGGATTGGCTACAACTGGCCAGTTGAAAAGTGGTTGACATCACTGTTGCAGGCACAGAATAGATGAGAACATGTGACACAGGAAAAGAAAACTCCTCTATTTCATTATTTGACTGTAATGAAGTATCATTGAGTCTCTAATGACAACAAATATTCAACTTTACATTCTAAGAATGTTCCTTATCAGCATTTGGACTCTCAGTCTCCAACACTGATAACAGATCAGGGTCACTGACATCAAGGGTTGGAGAGAGGGGAGTGGGAGAAAGATGAAAGGGGCGTGAGGTGCAAGCTTTGTGTTTTGTGAGTTGGTCAGTTGCTGCCTGGACCAACTCAGATTAACGCTTGTCTGTTGGAGAGCCTTAATCTTAATAAAAGAAATAGTGCCTTTCCTGCCAGTCCTGGATTTTTATTGAAATTTTTAAGTATAAGTTGCTTGCTTTTGTGACGACACACTCTTTAGGAACAATCCACTGTTCTAGATTAGGCTAAAATGATGAGGCCCTCTTACCACTAGAAGTCATAAATCATAAACTTCTGCAGGAAAACTCACACTCTCTTCACACTCATGCTGTCTGGAGTGGGAGTGAGAATAAGAACCATCAGCTTTTAGGACAGTTTCTATGGCCATCAGTCTCCTGAATGGCTTTGTTCTCACCCTATTGAAAGTCACCCACTCTAGCTCTTAATCTAGAAGCTTTAATGAGCAACCCCCATCTAAACACTGCCATCTTTAAGTGCTTTCCTCCACAAAACCTGGTACATTACTGCCATAGCTTTTTGGTGATACTGACAAAAGTACAAGAAATGACTTTTAATGTTTTGGCTCACCAACTTGTTTTTCATGAATATAAACAAATTTTGAATCCGATGCCTGTAACACCCCCCTTTAAAGCAAAATTAGGGGCTGTGGCAAAATAAGTGTGAAAACTGTAAAGAATGTTCAAGTTACACTGTTTTGAATAATTCCACAATTAGCAGGTGAGTTAGTAAGAGGTGAGGGTGTCGTGATGGGGTATCCACCAAAGGTTTTTCAGATTACCAGCTACAAGGTGAGAAAGAATGACCACAAGCTCACCAATGACCTGAATGAGTTCCACTGCAGATTTGAACACACAAAGGACACTATTTGGCCTCTCTGACAGACCCCTGCCCTCTTCCTCCACACTGCCTCTCTCATCTCTGCTCTCCACATCTCACCATTAACAAGAAGGATGTTAACAGGACTTTTCAGCAGACAGAAGGTGTGAAAAGCTCCAGGACCTGAATTAGTCTCTCCATCCACCCTAAAACACAGCAGTGGTCAACTAGCACCAATTTTCACCAACATCTTCGACAAATCACTGGAACTCTGCTCTGTTCCCATATGCTTCAAAACATCAAACACACATTAGTGGACTAAATGACTACTTCATTCTTCAGTACAGATAGTGGAAAGCAGTAAAGTTGCTGTGGCAATTAAGCAATGACTGATTGATATTAACAGGCCCCCAATATGCCAAGGAAACATTTGTCACATCATTACACCACCTCCACCAGCCTGGTCTGTTTACACAAGGCAGAGTGGGTCCATAGATTCATGTTGTTGGTGCCAAGTTCTGAACTACTATCTGTTTCTGTGCCTCAGCAAAAATCAAGATTCATCAGACCAGGTTACATGTTTTGTAGCCCATCCACCTCAAGGTTCAACAGGCATTCTGAGGTGCTCTTCTGTTCACTGTATCTATACACAGAGGTTGTGTGAGTTACTATAGCCTTTCTGTCAGCTTGAACAAGTCTGGCCATTCTCAGTTCAAATACAGCATTCCTGTTTGCAGAACTGCTGCTCACTGAATGTTTTTAAACACTACAGACTGCAGCAAGTGAAAATCCCAAGAGATCTGCAGTTCTAGAAATGCTCAAACCAGACTATCTATTTTTTTGGCATCACTATGTAATGTTCTGGTATGACCCTGTCTAGGGTAAGGCTGTAAAAGAATGGTGTGGTGAGAAATGTATACTTAGTGATTGTGTGTGTAGTGTATAATAATGAGACCAAAAACAGAAAATGGCTCTTAATAGCAAATTCACAGTGTATTACACAACTGTACCATACACTGTCTTCAGGTTTGGCCCAAACAACAAACAGAATCCACACAATCTTCAAGATACATACTAGCCTTAAGCAAAACATTATCTAACTCCCTGATGGGAAGCAAAGACACAGACAGAGGTGGTTTATAATTTTTAATTATAACTCAAATTAATCCACATGTGTCAGTGAAAGAAGAGCATAGAAGCCCATACTTTTTTGCCAACTGCTGCTAGATGGTGCTGCAGTAGTGCTGCTGCTATTTTAGACTGAATGCCAAGGGATTATTGTAAAGCAATGAAATCTATCTAAAACATAATCTAAGAATGCTTTCATAACAAACACAACAGCAAACTGTCCTGACAGATTCATTCAAAACCCTCATCAGACAGGAAGAGAACCTGATTTTGGAGGCTGTGAAGCCAAGTGAAAGTCTTGCCATATTTAGAACATTATTACAGTTTCTCTCCTGTGTGAAAGCGCTGGTGTCTTTGGAGACGACTTCCCTCAGTGAACCTCTTCCCACACTCTTAGCCGTGATACAGTTTCTCTCCTGTGTGAATGCGCTGATGGAAATGGAGCTGAGTCAGTGTAGTAAAGCATTTTTCACACTCTGAGCACTGGTATGGTTTCTCTCCTGTGTGAATGCGCTGGTGTGTTTGGAGATTACCCTTCTGTGTGAACCTCTTTCCACACTCTGAGCACTGATATGGTTTCTCTCCTGTGTGAATGCGCTGGTGCACATGGAGCCGAGTCAGTGTAGTAAAGCATTTTTCACACTCTGAGCACCGATATGGTTTCTCTCCTGTGTGAATGCGCTGGTGTGTTTGGAGACTACTTCTCTCAGTGAAACTCATCCCACACTCTGAGCAGTGATATGGTTTCTCTCCTGTGTGAATGCGCTGGTGTGTTTGGAGACTACCCTTCTGTGTGAACCTCTTTCCACACTCTGAGCACTGATATGGTTTCTCTCCTGTGTGAATGCGCTGATGCAAATAGAGCTGAGTCAGTGTAGTAAAGCATTTTTCACACTCTGAGCACTGGTATGGTTTCTCTCCTGTGTGAATGCGCTGGTGTGTTCGGAGATTACCCATCTGTGCGAACCTCTTTCCACACTCTGAGCACTGATATGGTTTCTCTCCTGTGTGAATGCGCTGATGCAAATAGAGCTGAGTCAGTGTAGCAAAGCATTTTTCACACTCTGAGCACTGATACAGTTTCTCTCCTGTGTGAATGCGCTGGTGTCTTTGGAGACTTCTTCCCTCAGTGAACCTCTTTCCACACTCTGAGCAGTGATACGGTTTCTCCCCTGTGTGAATGTGCTGATGTGATTTCAGATTATGTTTCTGACGAAAAAACTTCCCACACTCTAAACACTGGAATGGTTTCTCTCCTGTGTGAATGTGCTGATGTGATTTGAGATTACTTTTTTGATTAAAACTCATCCCACAGTCAGAGCACTGATACGGTTTCTCTCCTGTGTGAATGCGCTGGTGTATCTGAAGGGCAGAACGCACACTAAAGCTCTTTCCACACTCAGAACAGTAATTCAGTTTCTCTCCTGTGTGAGTACGCTGGTGTTTTTGGAGACTAGATCTGGTAGTAAAGCTCTTTCCACACTCAGAACAGTGGTGATTCCCCTCTTTGCTGGTATTTTTCTGCATTCTTCTGTGAGGTGTGTTGGTCTGGAGAGTATTGGGTAATATTTGCTGGGTACCAGAGCTTCTTCTGGATGCTTACTAAGTCTGTCTGGATTTCAGAAGTGTTCCTCTAGCAGCTCCTCATGTGTTTGTGAAGGTTCACACTAGAAGCAGGAGACGACTTGCAAAAGGATGTTATTCTTCCTGCAGGAGAAAAACAAAAATATTTATATATAAAATTCATATACAAGAAACTTTGAATTTAACATTTTTAGGTGTAAAAGTTTTTCACAATACACAGTTTAAAGTAAAGTGGAAAAAGGTTGTATCAGTTGCTGGGTTTAAAAGACAGTTTTATGACCTCTAATTATAGACTAAGTGTCTTCGTTAAATTCAATTATAAAATAGTTTAACATAGATTCATAAACTACTACAGTAACTGAGTCTTGAAGATTGGTTAGTGATGTATTTCATAATAAGAATTCTGCTCCAGCTTTTTGAAGTAATAAAGACATACTAATGTCTCAGCAGTTTGCATGGTTAAGGGATTTCTAAACCTGGCAATATTTTGGACTTTAAAATAAGGAGTTTTACATGTATTCAGCAATTATTCTTTATTCATTCACTGCTGTGCAGTCTCCATAGCCAACACAGCACAGCAGAGAATGTCCTTCCTGAGACATTCAACCTGCCACAGTGCCTGATGATCCAGTTCTTCACAGCAATCATCGAGTCCATCCTCACATCATCCATAATCATCTTGTTAACTTACAAATATTCATATCCGTCTGTAATATTCTGCATATAATAGTTTTTATAGTATAGTCTGTCTATTGTATTGTTATATTAAATTTCCTTTTGCTACATAATTGTTAACAGTCTGTGTTCTTGTCTGGTCTGTCTAGCATGTTACATGTTATACATGTGTGACTCACCAAGACTGATTCCTTGTATGTGTGACACACTTGCTGAAACAAAGTGATTCTGATGTGTAGAAGGTTGTAATCAGAAATACATGAACACAAATGCAAATCTTACTGGATCAAAATTTTGCTCTCAATTAGTAGAACTAAGTAACCAGTGTTTTCATAAACAGTTGTACACAACAGACCACTGCCCTCTTATCACCTACCAGATCCACCCCCATCACAGTCTATTCACACTCTCTCTGGAGAGAGAGTGAGATCAAGGACTTTAGGACTGTTTCTACTACCAGGCCATCAAACTTCTGAATAGATTCTTTTCTCACCCTCTTAAAAGCCCCCCAAATCACCCAAAACAGACAATTACTTCATCTTCCTTTAGAAAAAGGCCCCAATTTGGCCACATGTTGCACATTTTATATCCATCTGTGTCTGTTCATAGTGTCTGCATTGTTTATAGTTGCACATGCAATATGACATGATCTCTTTTTGCACATTGATTTCATATAAGTTTTCAAAATCTGCTTAACCTGCACAGAAATTAATGCAAGTACAACATTTTTCCTACACTGAAACATCCTCATTTTCACCAACACACAAATGAACAGAAGAAACACAGGATGCACCTCTGCCTTTGGGACCAACTTAGCAAAGTTAGCTTGAAATGAAAACAGCATTATTAAATAAATAACATTACTGGCCACAATTAATACATTAGTACAGTTTTTTTTCAGGATATATAGTGTGAATCTGAAATAAAAACTAAAAACAAAACTCAACATAAAATATCAATTAGCATCAAATCACAAGCACAAGAGCAAACAGTAGAAGTCTGGACAAAAGCTCCTTCAGTGTTGTGATATTTCTAAATCCTACTTTTCAAAGAGTGAATATCTCTCATAGTCTTTTATTTAAAGGTCAATTAAAAGCACAACATAAACCATTTGAAAAAAGTGTTGAAAAGATCTTTACCTTCAGTAACGCAGCTCCTGAGTCTCTCTTGCTGACAACACTGGCCTGGACTGCTGATCAGAGCAAGTACAACAGCATCGGCGAGGGGCTTCACACTGGAACCACATGATCACAGCAGCTCTTGAGGGTGTTATTTATATCCCACCCATACTGTGAAAACCACACCTCCTGTGCTAGGATTGGCTACAACTGGCCAGTTGAAAAGTGGTTGACATCACTGTTGCAGGCACAGAATAGATGAGAACATGTGACACAGGAAAAGAAAACTCCTCTATTTCATTATTTGACTGTAATGAAGTATCATTGAGTCTCTAATGACAACAAATATTCAACTTTACATTCTAAGAATGTTCCTTATCAGCATTTGGACTCTCAGTCTCCAACACTGATAACAGATCAGGGTCACTGACATCAAGGGTTGGAGAGAGGGGAGTGGGAGAAAGATGAAAGGGGCGTGAGGTGCAAGCTTTGTGTTTTGTGAGTTGGTCAGTTGCTGCCTGGACCAACTCAGATTAACGCTTGTCTGTTGGAGAGCCTTAATCTTAATAAAAGAAATAGTGCCTTTCCTGCCAGTCCTGGATTTTTATTGAAATTTTTAAGTATAAGTTGCTTGCTTTTGTGACGACACACTCTTTAGGAACAATCCACTGTTCTAGATTAGGCTAAAATGATGAGGCCCTCTTACCACTAGAAGTCATAAATCATAAACTTCTGCAGGAAAACTCACACTCTCTTCACACTCATGCTGTCTGGAGTGGGAGTGAGAATAAGAACCATCAGCTTTTAGGACAGTTTCTATGGCCATCAGTCTCCTGAATGGCTTTGTTCTCACCCTATTGAAAGTCACCCACTTTAGCTCTTAATCTAGAAGCTTTAACAATCAACCCCCATCTAAACACTGCAATCTTTAAGTGCTTTCATCCACAAAACCTGGTACATTACTGCCATAGCTTTTTGGTGATACTGACAAAAGTACAAGAAATGACTTTTAATGTTTTGGCTCACCAACTTGTTTTTCATGAATATAAACAAATTTTGAATCCGATGCCTGTAACACCCCCCTTTAAAGCAAAATTAGGGGCTGTGGCAAAATAAGTGTGAAAACTGTAAAGAATGTTCAAGTTACACTGTTTTGAATAATTCCACAATTAGCAGGTGAGTTAGTAAGAGGTGAGGGTGTCGTGATGGGATATCCACCAAAGGTTTTTCAGATTACCAGCTACAAGGTGAGAAAGAATGACCACAAGCTCACCAATGACCTGAATGAGTTCCACTGCAGATTTGAACACACAAAGGACACTATTTGGCCTCTCTGACAGACCCCTGCCCTCTTCCTCCACACTGCCTCTCTCATCTCTGCTCTCCACATCTCACCATTAACAAGAAGGACGTTAACAGGACTTTTCAGCAGACAGAAGGTGAGAAAAGCTCCAGGACCTGAATTAGTCTCTCCATCCACCCTAAAACACAGCAGTGGTCAACTAGCACCAACATCTTCGACAAATCACTGGAACTCTGCTCTGTTCCCACATGCTTCAAAACATCAAACACACATTAGTGGACTAAATGACTACTTCATTCTTCAGTATAGATAGTGGAAAGCAGTAGAGTGGAGAAGGTGGATCTACCAGACCACAAAAGGCGTTCTGAGGTGCTCTTCTGTTTACCATAACCATACAGAGTTATCATAGCCTTTCTGTCAGCTTGATCAAGTCTGACCATTCTCAGTTAAAATGAGGTGTTTCTGTCCTCAGAACTGTCACTGCCTGGATGTTTTTTCTTTTTTGCACTATTCTGAGTAAACACTACAGACTGCTGCCTAAACTCCCCTTCTGACGCTAACAATCACGCCACGGTCAAAATCACCAAGATCACATTTTTTACTGCTGCCACATGATTGGCTGATTAGATAATTGCATGAACAAGTAGGTGTACAGTTATTCCTAATGAAGTGTTTGGTGAGTGTATGTAAACGAGCTTTGTTCTGATTGGTTGGTTTGTTTCATGCTTTACTCAAAAAGCAGTCTGAGCTGAACCGCTCTAACTTAAGTGTGAACTGGTGGGGCTGAACTGCTGTAGGCTGTATGGGCAGGTGTGCACTATATGGACAAAAGTATTGGGACACCTACACAATATGCCTCTGTAGTGAGTAATTAAAAAACAGAGGATAGCCCCTGTGCACTTCAGCACATGCTGGCCTCACTCTGGTGGTTTGCATGGTCTGCCGCTTCACAGCTAAGCTGTTGTTGCTCCCAGGTGCTTCCATTTCACATTAATAGCACTTATAGTTGACAGGGGCAGATCTAGCAGGACAGAAATTTCACAAACTGACTCATGGCAGAGGTGGCATCCTGTGGCAGGGCTATGTTTGAAGTCACTGAGCTCATAAGTATGACCCATTCTACTGCCAGTGTTGTGTATTGAGACAGCAAGGCTGTGTGTACATTTAAAATTAAAGATAGAAACGTCAAGTACATTACTTGTCTTCACTATGTAATGTTCTGGTATGACCCTGTCTAGGGTAAGGCTGTAAAAGAATGGTGTGGTGAGAAATGTATGCTTAGTGATTGTGTGTGTAATGTATCATAATGAGACCAAACACAGCAAATGGTTCTTAATAGCAAATTTACAGTGTATTACACACTGACTGACAATCACCAGTTTGTCTTCAGGTTTGACCAAAACAAGCAGAACTCACACTGACTTTGATACATAGTAGCCTTAAGCAAATCAAAAGAATAAACAAAAGACAGACAGCTTATCTAACTCCCGGATGGGAATCAAAGACACAGAGAGAGGTGGTTTATAATTTTTAATTATGACTCAATTTAATCCACGTGTCAGTTAAAGAAGAACATAGAAGTCTATACCTTTTTGCTTTTTTGACAACTCCCGCTAGATGGTGCTGCGGTAGTGCTGCTACCATTTTGGACTGAATGCCAAAGGGAACAGCACAGAACCTAATATTTTAGTAAAATTGTAAAGCAATGACATCTATCAAAAATTTAATCTAAGACTACTTTTGTAACAAACTGTCCTGACAGGTTTCAGATTCAAAACCCTCATCCAGCAGGAAGAGAACCTGCTAGCACTCCTGGCCTTGCTGGTTTATCTGCTTCTGTGGGGTTG